GGTCTCAGCCATAATCGTCGCCCTCACACAGCCTTTCTAGGAAGGAGCAGCCGCTGAGGGGACTTGCCGAGGGGTGCCCAGTGCTTGCGGGCTTGGGGTCACCTGGTCCCTGCTGACTCAGGTCCGCGCCTCCAGACCTGCTGGGATGAGAGGAGGTGTCTTTCTGAATGAAAGCTTGATTCCAGCGCTGTGGTGTCGTGTACTCGTCCCCCCGGTTGTGGCGCATAAGGACGTCGGGGACATACACACACGTCCCCAAGCTGGTGGCGAAGTAGAAGGGTCCTTGCTGCCAGTACTGATGATGGAACGTAGAAGTCGGGTGGGACCCTGGGGCCTGGGGCCCAGCTCCCCTTAGCCGCCTTCCAGTCCCCAGGGGCCCGGAGCCAGGTCGGCAAACCGGCCAGAAAGTAAAGACTGTTGGGGAGGGTGGGCCTGGACCACGACCCCTGCAGAGAGCTAGGACCCCTGAGGGGCAACACTGATTAAACGAGGGAAACCCTGCACAGGACGGTGGACACAGCATGACGTAAGGTACGCTGAGCAGGTTTAGAGAAACAAGGTTATTAGAAAATGGAGAAATGAAACCAACAACATTGACCAGAAAGTTTTGAAAAATAACTTCTAGAAGTAAAAATACAGTCATTGAAGTTAGAAAGTCAGTGGATAAGTTTAAAAAGAAACCTGGTCACAGCAATCACACAGGAGCCCCAGAGAAACAAGAAGAACCTACAAGATTGTGTTACACAAAGGACAAGGCAGAGGCGGGTCCGACACACGTGGGACGAGCCCGGGAGGAGGGAGGGGCTGAGGGTAAAGCACTGAGAATGACGAGAAGTGAGACTCCAGTTCAAGAAGCCAGCCGAGTCAGAAGTGAGAGTGGGAAGAAGATGAGATCGCAGTCGGGAAATTCACCTCTGAGGGAACTTGGACCTGACGGGGAGATAAGATGGGCCGCTTCAGGGGCCTCCTCGCCCTCGGGGCCCCTCCCCGCCGCACACGCCAGCCAAGCCCCCAGACTGACTGCCACCACCAGTCAACTCCACGTCCGCCTCCAAAGGGCGCACTTTAGGAAGAAGCAAAATGGTTTCAGAAAGTTGAAGGGATGAGGTGAAATAGCAAAGGTGAGTAACGGTGAGCTTGGTGACGCTCACCCGGATTAACATGGTTCCAAAGAACTACAGTCCGGGAGGGAGCAGCTCTGAGTCGGGTCCCCGGACGCGGGCGCTGTGCTCTGACCTGGGGCGCAGGGGACGGTGGCACTTGTTTCCACGCTTGGCCTGGTGTTGTCTGAAGATGTCTGCTCACGTGTGCAGCTGGCACGTGCACACACGTGGATGCACGTGCACGTACTTGCTGGTCTCGTGCCCGTGAGCCCACAGCTGTGGGGCTGGCGCTTTTCACCCCATTTCCAGCCACAAGCCGTCGTTCCCCGATCACAGTGATTTTACAGTCAGACTGGGGTGCCCACCCAGATGTCCAAGTTAACCATCTGGGGGCTGTTCTGGAGGCTGTTGAAGCCCTCAGGTCCTCAGCATGAACTGGCCTGGGCCCCGGCACGGCCAAGGCTGGGCTGCGGGCAGGCGCACGCCGTGACCTGTGCCCTCTGCCCGTTCCCTCTGGAAGATGCTTTGCAGGCAGCTCGCCCACTTCTAGCCTTTCCAGTCAGTTGACATAACGTAATGATGGTGCTTACTCACTGGACCTCACTCCGTGCCAGATGGAGTGCTTTTCCACTTAATTCTCACAGCAGCACGACGCCCCCATCCCCGTGAGCTCTGGGCAGGCACGCAGGCATCACTGCTGGGGCTGCTGAGCCCTGAGGGAGACAGACCAGACACGGGCGTGATAAGCTGGGTGACGGAGTCACTGGTGCCTGTACCGAGTGACAAGGCAGGCACGGGAGGCTCAGGACAATGGTTTTCAGTCTTCTCTTTCTGGTTCCGTCTGCGGGGTTTTCTAAACCAAATACCTACCAGCTTCTCCTTGAACGTGCAGCTGAGGAGGACTCCCTGGCCCTCCAGAGTGGCTTTTCCCGACCCTTTGCATTTCCTGACCTTTCCTGGTTCACAAACTCTCCAGCTACACGGGGTGGGCAGCCAGTGAAGCCTCAGATCGCAGCCCGGGTGTCAGGGCCACACAGGACAGCAACCTCTTGGGGCTTCTAAAGTCATTGCTGTGGCCAAAGTGAGTGATTTGCCAGAAATGACTAGAGTGAGCTCCGGGTGGGGCTCAGGGACCCTGCCTCCTCCCGGCAGGGCCGTGTGTCCAGCAGGGAACGGAGCCCGGAGCCCAGACCGACCCATCCACCCCTTGGTCCCCGGCAGGAAGGCAGCGCCCGCACTTCACGCTTTATCCATGCGGCTGGGTAGACCCGGTGGAAAGCGTCTGACAGAGCACTTCCTCTGATGGGGCCACAGGGTCGTCCACGCCACGCGCGTACTTACCATGGGCAGCAGGACCTCCTGCCTTGTCCCCTAGCCTGTGACTGCGACCTCACCTAGCGAAGGGACTGAGCAGAGGTGGCTACGGTCAGGGTCTTGAGAGGGAGAGGTGGCTGGATTGCCTGGGTGGGTTGTGTCATCGTAAGGGGCCTTCCGAGGACGGGGCAGCAGGAGGGTGAGAGCCAGGAGACACGGTGATGGAGGCAGTGGGCGGGCCGCCTGAGCGCTGGCTCAGAGGGCGGGGGCCAGGAGCCCTGGAGTGTGGACGAACGAGCAGTCAGAAAGGGTCCCTCTCAAGTCTCCCCAGACACTCCCTACTGAAACCTTGGTTTTAGGACCTCTGACCTAAGGGCAGAAGTTTGTGTTGCTTTAAACCAATAGGTTTGTGGTATGGTCAGCCCTTTAAACCGGCGGGTTCAACCAACCACAGATGGAAAATCCTTGGGGGAAAAATTCCAGAGGTTCCAAAGAGCAAAACTTGAATTTGCTGCTCGCTGGCAACTGTTTCCTCGGCATTTGCACGGTATTGTCAGTCACGTAGGGAGCACTTGCGTGAAAATCTGCAAATATCAGACCATTCCACAAGAGGACTGGAGTGTCCGTGGGTCTGGTGCCTGGGGTGGTCCTGGAACCAGCCCCCGCAGACACCGAGGACAGCCAGTCAGCTAGAGCAGCTGCAGGAAACTCGTGCACCTGGGACGTCTATGAGGCCCACCCCAGCTGCTCACCTTTCTCTCTGATGCCGAAGTTCCTCATGCCGACTGGGTGGGGCATATTTCTGCTTGACTCGGGGCTGCCCGTGCTTTGGCTGATAGAAGGATCTAGAAGAAACTGTCCCTGTCTGTGCTCATGTCTGTCGGTGCCATGATGAGTGCGGGAGGAGGAGCCTCCACCAGGACACTTGGCCCCAGGGGCCCAGCCGAGCCACATCCAGCTGAGCCTGTTCCCGAAGGCAAGTCCACGTGCCTGACACAAACTGAAGCCAAACAAACTGACATCTCCAGGTCTGGAGCAGAGGAAGGTTTACCACATGGCTGAGCAAGGAGGACAGGGTGGTTCACACCCCAGAGCCTCCCCGAGGGTTTCAGCCGAGCATTTTTAAAGGGCAGCTGAGGGAGAGGATTTCAGGGTCCGTGACCAGCTGTGCACAATCTTCTGGCCGGCTGATGTGTATGGAGGAGGGTGGCTGACGCTCAGCCCCGAGCTAAGAAGGGCTGAGGCCATGCGCTCTGTGTCAATAGTTCATTTCTTCCTGCTGCTGGTGGTTTTGAGCATCTGAAAACCTCAGGAAGTAAGCATGAGATACTGGTATCTGGTCCTTCAGAGGGGAGCTGCAGCAGAGGATGCAGGAGGGTCTGACCTGGGAGGATCCCACAGGGTCCCCCTCGGGTATAATCCCCTACTTTTGAGATGCTGCTCGGTCCTGAGGAGAGCGGGTGCTGGACGAGGAGGGGAATGACGCTGTGGACAGAGGGTCTCTGTCAACTCCGTTTCAGTCTCCAGTCCTGTGTCATCTCTCCCCACGTCTTTCAGGGGGTGGGGTGACAACCACTTGGCTACTTCCTGCTGAAATGGGGTAGAGCCCAACTTCAGTTTGGGGAATGGTTGTGGAGTTGGAAATATTCTGGAGTTCCAAGTCCTGGATCTGAGTCCTGTATGATTAAGATCTCATTCCCTGAGGAATTCAGGAGAGGAAGCCTGAAAACCAGTCTGGACCTGGCACTTTGGGGGAGACTTGGAGCCAGTTGTCCACTTACTTATCTCAGGGTTTAACTTTTAACGTAGTGTCAACATATACGTAACAAGAGCTACTGGCCACTTGGGGCAACATGGATGGACCTGGAGATTGTCATTCTAAGAGCAGTTAGCCAGAGAGAGAAAGAAAAATACCATACGTTATCACTTATATGTGGAATCTAAAAAAAAAAAAAAGACAAATGAACTTATTTACAAAACAGAAACAGACTCACAGACATACAGAACAAACGTATGCTCACAACGGGGGGAAAGGGGTGGGAAGGGACAAATTGGGAGTTCGAGATTTGCATATACTAATTATTGTATATAAGATAGATAAACAACAAGTTTATACTGTACAGCACAGGGAACTATATTCAATATCCTGTAGTAACTTGTGGAAAAAATATGAAAATGGATATATGTGTGTTCATGTATGACTGAAACATGATGCTGTGCACCAGACATTGACACAACATTGTAAACTGACTGTACTTCAATAAAAATAAAAATTTTAAAAAGCTACTGGCCACTACACATGTCTCCTCTTCTCTGCTAACATCTGATCTAAAGCAATTTTATTGGCTAAAGATTTAATTTTACAAGAGGAGGCCTTTGAGGTCGTAAGGCTGCAGCTGCCCCCTGCCAGCAGACGCTACTTTGAGAATGGCTGGTGGTGCCTTAGTCTGACACAGCTCAAAAAAGTGGAGTTCTCAGCAACAGAGGAACGTGTCTGAAATCACACCCACAGTGGCCGCCCAGTTTACCCGGGACGTCTGAACCACAGTTAGTTCACTCTGACTTTCAGGTGCATTCCCCTCCTCAAGGCCAGAGCAGGTGTGCAGTGCGTGTCCAAAATGTCATAAAACACGCCACTTTGGCCAGTAAATTGTAAGTTAAACCGTACCTAAGCCAGAATGGGCTCCCCGTGTGTGTGTGTGCAGATTTTTCCATCATTTCTCCTTTTGACGGAGAGCCTTTCAGTGGAAAGCACTGATGATCACAACGTCTGCCCCTCGATGCTGGGGGGGTGGCTCTGTCCCAGTTCAGGCCACGTCCCTCGGTGTGAGGCCTCCTTTGTATTTGCCTCGTTATCCATGTCGGGGGAAACTGATTGGACGTCGTGAGCAGGCTCAGAGGTGTGTCAGCGGGAGGCGCTTCACAGGCCCTACACTTTATCACTCATGCCCGGTTGTTACACGAGCCTCGTGCACGCGCTTTTAGCAGCAGACTCAGCACACCTTGCTCCCCCTCGTGCGTAGTTGCACCCCGACGACTCCGTTAGAAAATTCTCTCTCTGTCCTGACACTGGGGGCAGTACTGATGGGGAAGGAAACATCTGGTAAACAATCCAGGGAGAAAACAGTCGATTAAAAGCCAGTAATACTTCGAACCACCAAAAAAATTACAACCGCATTCATCAGTTCACTCAGTCCTATGCAGTCGATCCCTGTTACCAATAGTTTTATGAAATCAGTTTTCATCAGATGTCTTAAATATCCCGCCCAGCTCGTCAGTACAATTTAAAAGAAGCCTGTACCTGTCAAAGTCTTCTCTGTGGATCCTCTTGAAGGTGAAGCAGTTCTGCAAAGCATCAGCCTAACTGCCTGTGGATGACAAAGACCTGAAAAGGACACGATCGGATCACAGTGTTCCTGACAGCGGTGCTTTATCAAGCTGCTGTGACACACGACATTCTAACTAGAGTCACGACTGTTATACCAGGACAGAAACTTCCCGTTATTCCTAGGACGGCCACACCAACGACCTTTATCCACATAACCCGAGGCAGAGGCGTGGGACGACGAAGGAGGCTTACCCCTCCTCACTCGCTTGACCGCTTCCCCGCTATTCTGCACAGCAGCCAGGCCTAGTTAGCTTCATGTCCTTCTCTAAGACATCTCGGGGGCCCTCTGAAGCATCCCAAAGTCAGCTGAAGTCAGAAGAACTTTAATTAGAATTTGATAGAAAGTTTGTCAAAAATACCAGTAAGTTTCACACAGTCTGTTACCAGAAGCATTCTAAGTAAACTTGTTCTCTTAATGGAGGCAACCAAATCTAGTCCTGCACCTGCCTATGCTTAATAACAAAGTACACTTTCCTAATTAAGTTTAATTAATTGTGTTCACCTACATGAGCTTTCTTGGAGGCTGACACCTTGCTTGGATCATTAGCACCAACCTAGCCCCACCCAACAGCCTGTAGGGAAGCCTCAGACCAAACAACGCACTGGGTGGGAGCGCAGCCCCACCCATCAGCAGACCTCCTGAGCCACAAAGGCCTCTAGACACGGCCCCACCCACCAGAGGCCCAGGACCAGGCCTCACCCAGCAGTGAGCAGGCACCAGCTCCTCCTGCCAGGAAACCTGCATAAGCCTCTAGTCCAGCCTCACCCACCAGGGGCAGGTACCAGAAATAAGAAAACAATCTTGAAGCCTGTGGGAGGAATCCACAAACAGGCCAGACTCTACACTGGGACTGGCTGGATCCTGGCCCTTGGGTGACAAGAGAGCAGTGTACTGCTGGGACGCACAGGACGTCTCCCACAGAGGGCCACCTCTCCAAGGTCAAGAAACGTAACCTACCTGAAAATACAAATAGAAGGACAAACAACATAAGGTGGCAGAGGAATGTCTCCCAGGCCAAGGCATAAGATAAAATCCCAGAAGAAATAAGTGATGAGGAGATAGGCAACTTATCTGAGAAAGAGTTTAAAGTAATGATGGTGAAGGTGTTCACAGAACTCAGGAAGAGTATGGATGCACAGAGTGAAGTTTGTAGCAAAGAGCTGGAAAATATACAGAATATCCAAACAGAGTTGAAGAATAAAATTACTGAAATGAGTAACACACTAGAAGGAACCAAGAATAGACTAAACTTACAACCAAGAATACTCTAATCCAGCAAGGCTCTCGTTCAGATTTGATGGAGAAATCAAAAACTTCACAGATAAACAAAAACTAAAGAATTCAGCACCTCCAAACTAGCTTTACAACACATGTGAAAGGAACTTCTCTAGTCATCATAACACAAGGAAAGAGAACAAAAAGAAGAGGGAAAAGAAAAAAAGACCTACAAAAACAAACCCAAAACAATTAACAAAATGGAAATAAGAACATATGTATCAATCACCTCAAATGTAAACGGATTAAATGCTCCCACCAAGACACAGTCTGGCTGAATGGATATAAAAACAAGACCCATATATATGCTGTCTACAAGAGACCCGCTCCAGAGCCAGAGACACCTGCAGGCTGAACGTGAGGGGATGGAGACAGATAAGCCATGCAAAAGGAAACCAAAAAAAGCTGGAGTAGCAATACTTGTATCAGACAGAGTAGACTTTAAAGACTGCTACAAGAGACAAACGACACTACGTAATGCTCAAGGGATCAATCCAAGAAGAGGATGTAGTAACTGTAAATACATATGAACCCAGTGTGGGAGCCCCTCAATATATGAGGCAACTGTTAACAGACATAAAAGGATAAATCCACAATAGCACAGTAATAGTGGGGGACCCTAACACCCCACTTACATCAGGGGACAGATCACCCAGACAGAGTCAGTCAGGAAACACAGGCCCTAAACGGCACATCAGAGCAGATGGACCTGACTGATGTCTACACAGCACTCCATCTGAAAGCAGCAGAACACACGTTTTCCTCAAGGAAGGTGCACGTGGGACATCCTCCAGAATCGACCACGTGCTGGCCCACAAAGCAAGCCTCAGGAAATGTAAGAAAACTGAAATCACACCAAGCATCTTTGCTGAGCACAAGGCTGTAAGGTTAAAAGTCAACTACAAGAAAAAAGCTGCACACACCTGGAGGCTAAGCAGTGTGCTGTTGAGCAACCAGTGGATCACGGAAGAAATCAAAGAGGAAATAAAAAGTACTTTCAGACAAATGAAAACACAACAGTCCAAAACCTCTGGGACACAGCAAAAGCAGTTCTCAGAGGGAAGTTTATAGCGACACAAGCCTACCTCAGGAAACAAGAAAAATCTCAGTTAAACCACGGAACCTCACAGCTAAAGCTGCTGGAGAAAGAAGAACAAGCAGAGCCCAGAGTTAGAAGAAAAGAAATAAAGATTAGAGCAGAAATAAACAAAATAGGGACTAAAAAAGCTAGAAAAGACCAATGAAACTGGAAGCTGGATCTTTGAAAAAATAAATAAAATTGATAAATTTTAGTCAGACCCATCAAGAAAAAAGGGAAGGGGCCCAAATTAGTAAAATCAGAAATGCAAAAGGAGACGTTACAACCAACAGCACAGAAATACAAGGATCATGAGAGGCTGCTGTGAGCAACTGTACACCAACAGAAAGGACAATGTAGAAGAAATGGACAATTTCTTAGAAAGGCACCATTTGCCAAGACTGAACCAGGAAGAAATAGAAACTATGAACAGACCAGTCACCAGCACTGAAGTTGAATCCGTAATTTAAAAACTCCCAACAGACGAAAGTCTAGGACAGATGGCTTCACAGGGGAACTCTTCCAAACGTTTAGAGAAGAGTTAACACCTGTCCCTCTGACACTATTCCGAAAAACTGCAGAGGAAGGAACACTTCCAAACTCCTTCTATGAGGCCACCATCACCCTGATACCAAAACCAGACAAAGATATCACAAAAAAGAAAATTACAGGCCAATATCACTGATGAATGCAGGTGCCAAAATCCTCAACAAAACACTAGCACATCGACTCCAACAATGCATTAAAAGGGTCACACACCCTGATCACGTGGGGTTTACCCCAGGGGTGCAGGGAGTTTTCTGTATCTGCAAATCAATCAGTGTGATACACATTAACAGACTGAAGAATAAAAACCATATAATCATCTAAATAGATGCAGAGAAAGCTTTTGATAAAATTCAACTCCATTTATGATTAGAATTCTCTAGAAAGTGGGCATAGACAGAACATACTTCAACGTAATAAAGGCCACATACGACAAACCCACAGTTAACATCATACTTAATGGGGAAAAGCTGGAAGCATTTCCTCTAAGATCTGGAACAAGACAAGGATGCCAACTCTCGCCACTGTGATTCAACATAGTTTTGGAAGTCTTAGTCACAGTAATCAGAGAAGGAAAATAAAAAAAGGAATCCAAATTGGAAAAGAAGAAGTAAAACAGTCACTGTTTGCAGATGACATGATATTATACTTAAAAAACCCAAAAGAAGTGACCAGAAATCCACTAGAACTCATCCATGAATTTGGTAAAGTTGCAGGATGCAAAATTAATATACAGAAATCAGCAGCATTTCTATACGCCAACAGCAAAATAGCAGAAAAAGAAGCTGAGAAAACAATACCATACACCATTTACCGTCACACCAAAAAGAATAAAATACGTAGGAACAAACCTACCCAAGGAGGCAAAGACCTGCCCTCCTAAACTGTAAGGCCCTGATGGAGGAGACTGAGGACAACACAAACAGATGGAAAGATACGCCGTGCCCTTGGATTGGGAGAATCAACACCGTTGAAATGGCCATGCTACCCAAGGCAGGCTGCAGGTTCAGTGCAATCCCTATCAAATTAGCAATGGCATTTTTCACAGACCTGGAACAATAAAAGTTAAAAATTTGTACGGAAACACAAAAGACCCCAAATAGCCAACACAGTCTTGAAAAAGAAGAACAGAGCTGGGGGAATCATGCTCCCTGACTTCAGACTCTACTACAAAGCTACAGTAATCAAAGCAGTGTGGTACTGGCACAAAAACTGACACACAGATCAATGGAACAGGATAGAAAGTCCAGAAATAAACCCACACACTTAAGGTCAATTAATTTACAACAAAAGAGGGAAAAATATACAATGGAGAAATTTAAGACAGTCTCTTCAGTAAGTGGTGCTGGGAAAATTGAATAGCTACCTGTGGAAGACAAATTAGAACAACCTGTAACACCATGTACAAAAATAAACTCAAAAAGATTTAAACATAAGACCAGATACTGTTAAACTCCTAGAGGAAAACACAGACAGAACACTCTTGGACATAAATCACAGCAATATATTTTTTGAACTACCTCCTGAAAAAACAGAAATAAAAGCAAAAATAAACAAATGGGATCTGATTAAACTTACAAGTTTTTGCACAGCTAGGAATACCATCAAAAAAAGAAAAAACCACCTACAGAATGGGAGAAAATATTTGCAAATGATGCGACCGACAAGGGACTAATTTACAAAATATGCAAACAGCTTATACACCTTAATATCAAAAACAAACAAACAAACAAGCAACCAAGTGAAAGCTGGGCAGAAGGACCTAAACAAGCAATTCTCCAATGAAGACGTACAGATGGCCAGTAGGCACATGAAAAAATGCTCGGCATCGCTAATTGTCGGAGAAACGCAAATCAAATCTACAATGAGGGATCACCTCACACCAGCCAGAATGGCCATCATTCAAAAGTCTACAATGGATAAATGCTGGAGAGGGTGTGGAGAACAGGGAACCCTCCTATACTATTGGTGGGAATGTAGTTTGGTGCAGCCATTGTGGAAAACAGTATGGAGATTCCTCAAAAAACTAAAAATAGACTTACTATATGATCCAGCAATCCCACCACTCCTGGGCACATATTCAGAGAAGAATGTAATTCAAAAAGACCCCTGCACCCCAATGTTCATAGCAGCACCATTTACAATAGCCAAGACATGGAAACAACATAAATGTCCATCAACAGATGACTGAAGAAGATGTGATATGTACACAGTGGAACACTACTAAGCCATGAAAAATAAAATAATGCCATTTGCAGCAACATGGACAGACCTGGAGATCATTCTAAGAGAAGTGGGCTGGAAAGAGAAAGAAAAATGCCATATGGTATCACTTGTATGTGGAATCTAAAATAAATAATAAATAAATAAGAACACAAATGAACTCCTTACTACCTATAACTTTATTGATTTCTTGAATGTGTGTAAGCACACCTGACTGTCCTTTATGGTTGGATCACTGCGTTCTGTTGATTCTTATTTTGTGGTTGGCTTTATTCCTTGATA